CGTTTCCACCATCAATACCTCTTTCGCTGCCAGATGGACCTCGTGACCAGCTGGTACCAGTGGTGGAACGTCCTATGCAAGAACCGCATCCGGCACCACTTCAACCTTCACCTACGGCACCGCTGCCACCTCCACCTTCAGCACCACTGCCACCTCCACCTTCAGTGCCACTTCCTGCGTCCATGGAACCACAGCCACCCTCATTGCCTCCTCCAGTTCTTCAGCCACCAGAGGCACCTCGTGAAGCACCTTTTTATCTAACAGCCGCAACACGCCTACTGATGCCGTCTGCTCTTTACCCACAGATGATTCCCATTCCCTTCCTTTCTGGGAGTCCCAGTATGCTCTTTGCCATGCCATCAGCTCCCGTTCCTTCTATGCAAGGAATTCCAGCACAACCACAAGCGCAACTTCCACCCACTCCTTACACATACATTCCTTTAGGGGAGACTCCCTCAGCACCAGAAGTGCCACCTCCTCCACCTCCACCACAGGGTCCTCAACTTCCTCCTCCACCACAGCCCATGCTTTCACCGTCCCCTGCACCTTTGATTACTGACTCATCTTTGTCACCGGCACCATTGTTCGCTACAGGATTTCCTTCTCAAGGACTTGGGCCAATGCCGACCCCTGTACCATTGAAGGCTCTCTAAAAAATTTTGTGAATTTGTTGTTTGACGCTCAATTTGCTGTTTATACTGTTTGTTTCATAAATATTTCTTGATATGGCCTCGAATTGTCCGATAGAGACTGAACAAATGCAAATACATCAAACCTGTCTTAGAAATTCAATAAGTGAACCTCTGAAACTTACTGGATCGGGTCCAGTTGCAATCACGAAATTAGGTGTAAGCTACCCTTGTTTACTTGTTTACTCATTTTCACATTATTTTTTCTATTTTGTGAACTTCGTCATAACAGTGAACACTCCACTCTACTACGGCAAAAGTGCAGATATCCTTCCCATTTCGCAGCTTCCATAGTCATGGGATGTGCTGCCCAGGAGAGTTACTTACCAGAATGGATTACCAGTATCAGCTGACCAATCAGGTGCTCCTTGAATGACTTATCATTTCCATAGTTAGCGGTATAAATTCAAAAAAAANAAAAAAAACAGTCAAGCAAAGTGGGAACCCCTCGATTCAGGAAATAGCTCATGAGCTGAATAACCTGCGCAGTAGCGGAATTAGATAGATTTCTCACCCTCTCATAATAGAACAAATATGGTCGAGCCTCGCAGTAACTACCTGACGGTAGGAATCATCTGATTTATCTCAACAGAATTTAATTGCTGACTGAAGAAGTTGCCGCCCTTCCTCACCCTTATTTACTTAAAACTTTATGTTTTCAAGCGACTTGATAAGGTCAAGCGGTTCCGCTCACTTTTCAGCAATTCGTCTACTTTTACACGAGAACTATGGCTCATTTGAAGTTCACCGAAACCGTTTGAGTTGTCGAATGACGTTCTGAACCTATTATCCATGCACCTCACCTCTCATGATCTGCTTTTCAGGCTAAGTTCCTTAACACTGCTTCTACTCCCTCACCAATCCCCTCTGTCAAGGAAGTATTCCCTGCGCAGTGTTTCAAAATCGCCTTCCCAATCCAGAAGTGCCAAATGCTCGTCGTCTTCGTTCCTTCCCCACTCAGCAAACAAGAAACCACTCCAGTCCCTCGTCGTGTAGTGACGGCGCAATTGTCTCATCTTGGACAACGAACCTGAACTCTCTGCTCCTCAGCGATTGAGCTATTGTCCAGTGAAGTGAAGAACCCTAAAGGGTTCTTGGAAGCAGGTTCATGGACCAATGGAGGCTCACCGGGAGGAAATCCACAGAATTCTTGAATCATTGTCTAAACGGGCCAGCTTACTGATCTTTAAGATAGAACAAACTAAATATAACCTTCCAGTAGACAGTAGCCATTACTTTCTCGATCCTATCAGAATCTTCTACCAGGTAATCCCTTTACTTTGTAGGACCATGTGCAAAAAAAAGCTCTAGTAACTTGTAAGCAACCGAATGCTCTTCAACGCAGCTTGATTATTTCGACCGACCTCCTTATAAAAGTGGAAATTCCATTTCTACGTGGGCAGACGGAAGGTAAGAACATTGATTAAGGAGGTCGGGAGCTACCATGACCAATTACTCGCTAGACTAGCCAGTATATTTCTCCGGGATCTGTTTTAAACGAAGAAATTTGTGTATTTTCGGCTCCTTTTCTAAATAAATTCGGTTACACCTTTTCAAATTATTCGCTTAATCTTGATCTGTATAAAACTAATCCTTTTGGAACGAAAAATTCGAGCAGAAGTAGAGAATCAGAAGGAAATAGGCCACGCAAGAGAGTGATTCAGCGACTGGTTAACGGCCAGTCTTTGATTACCAGTCGGATACCAGTACAACCTCCGTTACAACCAGACAAATCTATTGTTCCACGCCATTCAAATGCGATTAGCCTCCCATAAGTACTGTATGGCTGTGTTCGGGACGTGGAGAGCATAGTCCATCATAACAGGGCGGAGGTGGAGGCCAAAAGAAGTGGAAGGATAGCTGTGGACGGGGAGGGCACGAGCAGGCGGGGCCTCTGGCCGTCGTCATTGAGTCAGCCAGTCTCTCCGCCAGTCTGTCACCAAAGCAAAATGACCTGACCAAGAATTCTGATGGACAAGAAAAAGCTGCTTAAATTGGTCGTCGTCGGCGACAGTTATGTCGGAAAGACAACGTGAGTTACAAGAGTATTTCAAATACAGTATTCCGTTTACTTAAAAATTTAGATGTGCTTCTTTAGCTACTTTCTTTTTTAAAGGTTTCTCTAGGTTTTTTTTTCAATTTTTATTTTAATCGAGAGTTTCATTTTTCAAGCTAAACCCGGTGCAAAAAGCCAGATTTTAACCCAGAAGTGTTTACCACAGGGCCACAAGAAAACAGACCCAGTATTAATGAACCTTTTGAGTTTCTGCTCAAATTCCTCGGTGGTCCTTCATTTTTGCTTCAGGATTGCTCGCTTTGCTACCTTTCTTTATTTGAGAAATCTTGAGATTGTACGGAGCCGAAGGGTGGAAAGGTGGGCTCATAAAAGACCTTTGTTCCGGCATTCAAAGTTGGCAATGTTCCCATGGAATCACCTTAAAATAACGACTTTCTAGCTGCCAGGATTGGAATCGCCTGGTCAAACCAGAGCTTTCACCATTCCTAAACAGGATAGTTTGAAGTGGACTGGATCGAATGCATAGCTCTATCAGACGGCCTTCAACTTGAAGTGGCTAACCTCTACATTTCGGTGTAAGAGGCTAATGCTGAATAGCAGCCAGATGCGTGGCTCATCCAAAAGGGCAAAAGGGCGATCAATGCTGTAACTTCCCCAATCCTTTCAATTGTTGGAGAATTCCGAAGCAAAGTAACCGACCATTACGGCAATGTTTCCTCTCACGAAATCAGTCGATCGATAGTCCATACGGTCTAATGGACTGATAAGCCTATGAGTCTCTCTGAGATTACGGGTATACTGAGCAAAAACACCACTCTGCAACTAAATAGTAACCTAACCGAGTACACCACGAGAAAAGGCATTTGGATTTCACTGAAAATCAGAAAAATTCAGGCCTTTCAGTCAAGACTATGTCCCTCACAGGGTTTCCCCAAGAAATTTGGCTTTCCCAGGTGTGAACTCCGAGAACTAGTGGCCTTCCCAATCGGTAACTTTGTTGGTTATTTTTAGCAGTAGCTGGGTATCGACCCGGGGATATTTCAGTGAATCGCACTTTGATTTTTTAAGTAAGTCTATCTCTATCTTCCAGGTGCACTTTTCTTCTGGAAAATTAGTATTCTTGATCGCAGTATGGGATATAACCCACCGAAGATCGGAACCCATGACATGCCCTTGCAAGCCGAAGTCACTTTTTCTCTATAGATTCAAACAATGGATACCCTTGAGTTGATAATAGGATGGACCAGTGAAAACGGAGGTTTTCGATGGGAAACTGTTCTGGATAGTCCTCAGACAACCCTTCCAGGCTTTTAGAAAACCTGAAAAAAGAAGTGTCCGGGAAAGGGTGATCACAGGCTCAGGCATGGAATACCACCGGAGTTCTTCAGCATAGGAATCGCTCACTGTCCAGTAAAACAGAGGCATGAATATGAGTCATTTTGGATGCATTACCAATCTCTCAGGGCCATGGCAGATGTTTCTGACGTGGCTTTTGAACCCATTTCCAACCAAATCCACTATACAACAGCAATATAAGCTCTTCAGCGTTCTCAAGGAGTATTTGGGAGGCAAAAAGAGCAAAGGGCAAAGGCCACGACCATAAACTCGTGGGTTCAAAGCCACGTCAGAAACATAAATTGTGGTCTCTGGGGGTTATTTCACGGCGGATCTCGTCAATGCTGTAAGCATGACATGCAATCATTGCCAGGGGACCCAAAAAAGGTTCCCAGTTGTACAAAAATCATCACAAGGATTGAGTCGAAAGTGAAATTGAAATTCTGGGCAGTCCTGCTAATTACAATGCTAGTTTGGTATTCTATTTTTTCTTCCCCATCATGCTTCAACTCCCTTCCTTGCGGGTTGCTCTTCCTTTCATAAGATATGAGTCTTATACGTAGACAGCAGGCGAAGTATCGCCAGCCCAAAGAACAAGAAGCACTTTGATGAATTGAATTGAACGTACCCGT